TTTTTATGGACTACATGAATAGGATCTTTCACCCTTACTTGGATAGATTTGTAGTGGTCTTCATAGATGATATCCTAGTGTATTCCAAGACTAGGGAAGAGCATGTTGAGCACCTTAGGATCGTTCTTCAAACCCTTAAGGAGAAACAGTTGTATGCTAAATTGTCAAAATGTGAATTTTGGTTGGATAGTGTGAACTTTCTAGGACATGTGATATCCAAGGGTGGAATAGCTGTAGATCCTGCTAAGGTAGAAGTTGTGTTAGAGTGGAGTACACCTAAATCAGTATTTGAGATTAGGAGCTTCTTAGGACTAGCTGGTTATTACAGAAGGTTCATAGAGAATTTCTCTAGGCTAGCTCTTCCTTTGACTAAGCTGACAAAGAAGGACCAACCTTTTGTATGGGATTCTAGGTGTGAGGAAAGCTTTCAAGAGCTTAAGAGGAGATTAACTAGTGCCCCTGTGTTAGTGTTACCTGATCCTAGTAAGACCTTTGAGGTATTTTGTGATGCTTCTAAATTGGGTTTAGGAGGAGTGCTTATGTAGGAGGGTAAGGTAGTAGCCTATGCTTATAGACACTTAAAATTCATGAGCAAAACTATCCTACCCATGACCTTGAGTTAGCTGCAATAGTATTTGTACTTAAGTTGTGGAGACATTACTTGTTTGGGTCTAGATTTGAGGTTTTAATGACCATAAAAGCCTTAAGTACTTGTTTGACCAAAAGGAATTGAATATGAGGCAGAGGAGATGGTCAGAGTTCCTTAAGGATTATGACTTTCAATTGAATTATCACCCCCAGTAAGGCTAATGTTGTAGCTGATGCTTTAAGTAGAAAATCTTTGAGAGTGTCTTCTTTGCTGATTAGGGAATTGCATATGATTGAGGAGTTTAGGGATATGAGCTTAGGGTGTGAGTTGACCTCTAAGAGTATTAAGTTGGGAGATTTGAGAGAGACTAATAGCTTGATAGATGAGATTAGAGAAGGTCAGAAGATAGATCCTTTCTTATTTGCAAAGACAACATTGCGACGGTTTGGGAACCTTCGCAAAATTGTCCGTCACTAGAACCGTCGCAAAATTGGAATTGCGACCCCTGAAGCACTCGACGCACTAACTGCCTCTATATTAACATTGCGACCCTTTCATCAACTGTCGCACCAACTGCTTCTAAATTAATATTACAACCCTTCTTTTACCCGTCAAAAATTATAATTTTTTTTTAATTTTAATAAATTTATTAATGTAACAATCCTCATATTTGGCATCTCAAGGGTTCTATTTCACGATATTTCACTGTTTAGCGTGTTTTATCCTTACTTGTGCAATTTCTGGGAAACTTCCAGAAGGTCATCCATCCCTGTACTACTCCAAGTCAAACACGCTTAACTGTGATGTTCTGATGAGTAAACTACCGAAATGTATATGTATGTTGTCAGTATAAATTGTACAAATTAATTGATTTAAGTCATCCTCAAATATACAATCTCATATTTGTACTATAATAATAATATATAATAATTTTATATTACGAATAATAATAATAATATATTTAGTTATTCTTTATTTATATGTACTTACTTTTATAATTAACATCTACTTATTTCTATTTAAAATTATAATTTAAATTATTTAATTTTATAATTTATAATGATAATATAATTTATAAAATTATAAATATTTATTTATTACATACTTATAAATTAAATTTTAATATTTTAAATAAATTATTAATTAATTTAATATATTTATTTACCTTAAATCAAACATATAAAATTCAAAAAAT